CCTGAATATAGGAACTGTTATGTTTTTGTTACCTTAGAAAGGGCCATTTCTACTTTAAGTATATTTTGATGCTGATAATACAGGCGGCCCCTTTGGACAAACTATAAATAACTATGAAATAGCCAAGAAAGATAGTTGATTACGCTTGGAATGAGACTCAACAATCAACTATCTTTAAGCCACAAGCTCTGATTGGTTGTTTTCGTTCAGGCCCAGGGGATTTTTGCAAATGCCATTAGGAGCACTAGGAGGAGCCAGAGGAACCAGATTGACATGTAGTACTGTCAGGATATAGTTAAAGTTTCATCAAATATGATAAAAAAGTTATTTTTTATAGAAGTTACCTACTGCAGATTTAATTTATTATGTTCTGTCCAAAGCATATTCTCTGTATATACCCACAGAGGTTACAGACTGCTGCAGTATCAGCCTGCAGGCTTGAATTTCTTTGTCCATATGGGATTTTTATAAAATGATGCATTTAATCTTAATATAAAGGAAAAAAATATGGATTGCAAGTTTCGTGACTGATAATCATACAGGTAATGAGCGCCAGTTACATAATACATGCATAATTTATATGCATTTTACAGATCAGACAAAGTGGTGCATTAATGTCAAGGTTTCATAATTTCATAGTTTCAAAACTCTAACCCTGTCATAATAAATTTCACACTAGTGTTTTGAGAATTAATTAACATTTACATACAGCCGTGTTCAGTCCAGACATGTCTGCCTTCTCGTCCGATTCCTCCTCCACATTATTGGATTGGAATTGCCCATCCTGCACATCCATGTGATTTTTAAGACAGTGACTGTTATCATTTTTCCCACCTCGTGATACATTTCTCCCCTCTCATGGCATCCTTTTTTTTTCACTCCTCCCCTCTTGCTCTTCTCCCTCTTCATTATCACCTCCTCTCTGCAAGCTCTTCCTCAGTATTTGTGATGACATGACTAACAGCCCGGCTGGACGTTTGGCGCCATAGGAACCGGACTTAATGTGGTCTTAGTGTGGTCTTTCTGAGTCACCTGGCGCCACGGTGACCACTGTGGCCCTCCCTCTGCCATCCATCTGGGTGTGCGTGTGTGCGCGCGCGCCTCTAATGACTCATCAGCTCATTGTGCCAGCTGTAGTGGAATCTACTCAGCCAGCTGGTGACAAAAGAAGACTATGACCTCTCTTTCTTCCCGCTTAGAGCTTTTATTGAGCTTATTTTTAGCCTAAGCGTGGCTCTGCCTTCTCTGGAGGAGTTTAAAAAAGCGGATTAAGGACAATGGATAAAAAGAAAGAACGATGATTGACACTTTTTGCTGTCAGTAGTGTAGGGTTTTCTCCATTGAACAGATTAGCAAACAAACAGTAGCACCATAATTCTCATTGATTGATGAGCTACTGCGAGACAGAGGCTGTACATTACACCCACTTCACAGCAGTTAAAGGCTCCATCAGGCATGATGAATTTATCACTGTGTCAGTTAGCTGTAGCATAATTGATGATGTTACATAGAAACCTCTTATTTTATTATCAAACACAGGCCTGTCATGATAATTACATTATCGACATACGATATATATACAATATGTAATTATCGGCTGTTTCGTTATCGACTTCTAATAATAGTATAACAACTTTATTTGTATAGCACTTTTTAAAAAAACAATGTTTACAAAGTGCTTTACATACACACACAAAAATTGCAGCACAAAATGATTAAAAGGTGGACAGAATACAACCATAAACACCCCAGTATTTAGAGATATTGTTAAAAAGATTAAAAACATAACACACAGGCGAAAAAAAACATAATACATAGCAGCATGTGCTGAAATGAAATTAAGAAAGATTAAAATAAAAATAAATTAAAAAAAATCATGAAGGACTTCCGGTGACGTCATGGTAGGAATAACAGCCTGATCCTCCAGCTGCGGGAAGAAACCCTCAAAAAACTAGCCAAATCAGTATTTAAGTCTAATTAGTCACTTCATACCAAGGTCAGAATGTCTACTATAAAAAATGATGCAGAAAAGAAAAGGAAAGCGGCTAAAAAAGACAAGAAACAAGACCAAACAGTCACCGCTTCACCTACACTTGAAACTGGCGCTGAGGAGAAAATGGCTGCGGTGCTTGCTGAACTTCATGACCTGCGGAGAGAACATTCCGAGGCCTCCAAAGACACGAAGGCTACCTTATCGAGGGTTGAATCCACCCTTGATGATGTGCTGCAACGTACGACAAGACTGAAACAACAAGTAACGAATGTGGAACAGAGAGTGAGTGACACGGAAGATAACGATGAGAGAGCCATTCGCTATTTACTTCAGAGAGAAGCTAAACTGTCTAAGTGTGAAGACCGCGAGTCCAGGGCAAGACGGAATAAGTTGCGCATATATGGAGTGAAAGAGGGAGAGGAAACGAATGATATGATTAAGTTCATATCCAACTTCATGCGCACTTTGCTTGAACTACCAGAGGATTTGGACCTGTGCCTGGAGATAGCTCATCGCTTGCTGACCATGAAACAGAAGGAGATTTTAGTCACAATTAGCAGGATGTTCGTGCAACCAGCTGGGTTTTTGGAAGTTAGTTCTCATTTGTTTCTTTATACAAGTTTTTTTCTTTTCATCACGTTCAATGCTTGTTCATATCATTCTAACAGATGTGCAGTCATATGTTATGTCTCAGGTACTTAACAGGTACAATATGCTGAAACTGAGGTCTGGGTGGAAAACAGTAATTGAGGATAAGATGAACACTTTTGCTATACATTCATGAACAATTTGACCATAACTACGTATAATGTCCATGGACTGACTCATCCCATTAAAAGAAAAAAATATATAGGCAGTTAAAAAAACTGCATTGTTCAATTGCCTTATTACAAGAAACCCATTTATCAGTAGGAGAACATCAAAAATTAAAAAGGGAATGGGTGAGTCAAGTATTCAATTCATTGTTTGGTAAGAAAAAGGGGAGTTGTAATCTTAATAAACAGAACATTGGCCTTCTCCTCTGAAAAAGTTATTCAGGATAAACTAGGGAGGTTTATTATGGTTGTAGGTACAATAGGAGAGGTGGAGATGTCTATTTTGAACCTGTATGCCCCAAATGAACCGGACCAGAATTTCTTTAAGGAAATTGCAAATGTTATTGCAGATAATGCTAAGGGCATCATAATAGTCAGGGGAGATTTCAATGCTGTACAGGATGGAAGGCAAGATAGAATGCCAGCAGAGGGAGGACCCCAAACTATAAAAACCAAAACACTTAATAATATGATTTCAGAATTAGGACCCTTGGAGATCTAGAAACCCTTCAGGAAAATTTTTTAGTTTTTTCTCTAATGTACATAACAGTTATTCCAGCATTGATTTCTTCTGTTTATCTCAACAGCATATGTATAAAGTAACAGATTGCCACATATAACCAATAACTCTGAGTGATCATGCTCCTGTAACTTTAAATATAGATTTAGGCAAAGAAAATATCTTCAGATACTGGAGACAGAGTGTCTCGTTATTGACCAATACTGCGGTTACACAGGATTTAAAGCTAAATTTAAAAGAATATTTCGAGACAAATGATAATGGAGAGGTGACCCCATCAGTTCTATGGGGGGGAGCTAAAGTAGTGATAAGGGGAAAGATGATTAAAATTGCATCTAGATTAAAGAAAATACGACTGGAAGAACAAACTAAACTAGAAAATAAATAAGGCAGTTAGAATCAGAACACAAAAGCACATAATAGTTACAATACTTTGTTAGAATTAAAAGAAAACAGAAAGGCTTTGTACAAGCTCCTCACATACAAAGCAGAAGGAGCCTTAAGATTTTCCAAACAAAGATATTATGAGATGGGGAACAGAGCCAGCTGCTTGCTAGCTTTTCAACTTCGTAAATCCCAGGCTAGTCGTGTGGTTCCTAAGATTGTACACCTCCCACATCCCAAAGAAATAGCAGATGCTTTTGCAACATTCTATGAAAAGCTATATGAAGAGACTAGATCAAAAACTAAAAATGACAATCCTGAGGCCTTTCTTTCCAGTCTGCATCTTCCCTCACTGTCAGAAGATGAAGCATTACAAATGATATCAGATATTACAGAAACTGAAATACGGGAAGCTATAAAAAACTAAAAAAACAACAAATCTCCAGGGACACACGGACTCCCTGTAGAGTTTTATAAATGCTTCATAGATGACTTAGTACCTATACTAACTAAAGTTTTGAATTATGTTCTTGCTAAAGGCGATCCACCAAATACATGGTTGGAAGCTATTATATCAGTGATCCATAATGAGGGTAAGGACCCAACATTTTGTGAACGGTACAGACCCATTAGTTTGCTATGTAACGACCAAAAGCTGCTAATCTATATCCTGGCGAAAAGAATGCAAAAAATTATAACAAAATTGATTAATCCAGAGCAGACAGGTTTCATCCCTGGCCGACA